AAAAAAAAAAAAAAAAGCTCACTTTTCATTCTCTCTTTTCATGAACTCTAAAGATGATTTCACTGTAAGCTCATGATGTTACAAGGATTTGGACTTGCTGTTGTTAAGCAACGTTCACTTTTCTCTCAGTGGCCAGGTCGGAGGGTGGTGTCCAAGTCAGAGCTCAGTGACCTCCTTATAATACGGAGGACCTGGGGCAGCCCCAAAACCCAGAGATCAAGCTTACTAGGACCCCAGCCTCTGCGACCTCAGACAAGTTACAGGATATTTTCAGTTGGTTGGTATTTCTTGGAATCGTGTTTCCTTACTCCTATTTGACCCCTTTTCCTCAAGAAAAACCTATCAGAATTTAAATAGAACCATAATCTTTTAAGGTTTCAAGATTCCCAAAGGCCCCCCCTGTCATGGATATATTTTACCATATTCCTGTTACAATAAATAGAAACAAGTAGATTATATATTTATTGAAGAAATGTAATGTTTGTTCATAACAATCAAATCTGGTATGAGAAATAAGTTATGGGATTATTTAAATTGCTGAGTTACACCTCTCCTTCTGAGTTACATAAAATGGTGCACTCTCTCCTTGGTTCTTTAAAAATTATTTGTCATTAAAATATTTGATCTTAACACTTCAATGACAGGGAAAGGGAGGCATATCAGTATTTGTGAATGTGGGTGGGATGTATTTGTGGATACGTCAACTATGTTGGGGCAGGTGCTGAAGAGATTTCTGATGTCTGTTCTGGATTTTCCCAACCCTATTGTATTTGTAAGCTGGTGCTGTTTAAGTTTAAGGAATCTTGAGCATTAAAAGTCTATAACTAAGGAATTCTTTAGGGATTCATCCTGAAGTGTTACAATTATTTATCTCCCATCTCTGAAATAATTCCATATGTCCACACACACACAAATCAAACAATGCCAAACTGTAAGGTGAGGTAAAAAGAAAATAAAATTATGTCAAAATTATGTAATGAGTAAAAAATCTGTCTTTAAAACAAATTATAATAAAACCTCTTTGATTCCTGTTCTTCCTTTCAAGCTAGTTGTAGTTTTTTTTTTTTTCCCCTTAAATAAAGTCTTTTGCTGCCTATGAAAGCAACATACGGTTATAAGGGAAAATACAGGAAAGCGTAACAAAAAGGTAAAATCACCTGGATTCCTCCCCAAATGTAACCACTCTTAACATCCCCATAGGAAGATTTTAAATTATTCAAAAATGCTGTTTTATTTTTACTCTTGAGGTAAAAAAAAAAAAATCTGTTCTGCGTTTCCTCTTTATTTTCAGAAAAGCCAAATTATTTTTTTTCGTGTCATAAACAGTAGCTCTCCTGGATTAGCAAAACCTTTGTTTTGTAACAGAGATTTTCCTCTGGGCTACTTTTCTCTGAAGCAAATTCTCTGCCAGGAACCACGTAACTGAAAGGTTGACCACTGCACCCCCCCAGCTGGACCTCTCTCACTGACCACCCCACCTCTCCCAACACAGCGCCCAGGGGAGGTCATTGCCTTTGCAAATGGAATTTAGTTCCCTGTTTCAATGGCCAGGTTTATTTTGATACAGAATAACCTAAGTAAAGGTGAGCTATGCTATAATAATAGTAAGATCCATGTGCATGCGGTTACTTTTGGAATGTTTCTGTTTTTATTGTTGTCTGTTGTACAAGGTTAATTGTTTAACAACAACTAGGTTTCATCACAGTGCAGTTAGGTACTGATTGGGAACAATAAAAGTCTATTAAAAATAGTAAACTTTATAGAAATATTTCTTAGAAATGCATTTCCTTTAACCTGAGGTTAAATATTAAACATTACAATCGTTCCACAGATTTATCAGCCTTGGTCTGAGCATATCTGCTTAGATTATATTTAAATATAAGATTATTGAGTATTTTTGTTAATAGCATGCAACAGCCTCCTCTTCAGATAAGGGAAACAAAAGGATTTCAAAAATAAAGTACAGGTTTGCTACGTTTTGAGCATTTAATACACACTGTAATCATTATTTGCTTTAGTGCAGGGAGTCCCAAAGGCAGTTTTATGCATAGACTTACCTTGGAAAAACTCATTTTCCAGCAGTGAGGCATCCCACGGGGGCATGCCACTTCCCTCCCTCATGCCTGTTGGCCGGGGGACAAATGCACTCTCAACTCGTGGATTTTCCAGAGGTGAGCTGTGTATTTTTGCCTGCTAATTTTGAAACAGAAAATGCAGTATTATTTCTGGACCTTCTCTAGCCAGAATACTCACATGTCCCCACAAAAATGTCCCAACCTAAAATTCTTAGTCTAAGGACCACAAATCAATTTTTCTAACACTTACCTCTCAACTTACAATGTTTTGTTATTTCTGTCATTTGCAAGTGATCACAAACTACTCTATACCTACACTGATTGCTTTTAGTATGAGTCTTCAAGCAATATATCGAGTTTCTTTGTACCAATACTCCTACAATCTTACACAGCACTACACAAGTCTTAGGGAGTTTCCTGGAATACAGGAAAGAAATCGACCTCCTTGAATTAGGAGAGTTGTCTCCATGGCCCCAATGGCTGGAATTTTAGATTTCTTAAACAGTGTCCCTGCTCTATCAAGAGCTGGCTAGCTGAAGATTGTAGTGGACCTTAAGATTTGTGAACTTGGTGTATTTAGAGGAAAACAAAAAATATTTCTTGCCATAGAGTTCATGCAGAATGGTAGAACCTCCTAGACAGACATAAGCAGCTGATACAGTTCTGAATCAAAGGTGCTAAGAAGTATGACTTTATAAATGTTTGTTGTTGTTGTTGTTGCTGTTTTGAAATACCATTGCTAGTTTTACAGGGTTTAGGAGAATGAGATAGAGCTAATGTTGTTTTCCTGTCTGTACAGCAACTGTTTATCTTGATTTCTCCAAATCCATCACTGCCCTACTTTCAAGCTTTAATTTGTCTCCATGACCTTGGGGGATTATCTACTCCCACACCTTCACTTTCTTTTGCCGAAACTCCATTTGCATTTCCTCTGTCACACCGGCTCTGTCGTTTGTGACCCGCTCTAACTCGCTCTGCACCTGTTCACGAAAAATGCTAGCAGCCACTTCCCATTAGGTCTCTGCCGTCAGCTCACTCTGCTACCCAGCGCTTGCCGCTTGGATCCCACGTCCCCTCCAAGTTTTCTCTTTCCCTTTGATGTTTGCCGTTACATTTCACCTCCTCTTGAACGCCTAAGACCAAATCTCTAATGTTTCCAAAGCTCCAACGTTTTTTACTTCTCCATCCCAGGTCTGTCCAATTCCAAACCCCAGGTTCTCCTGATTTCTATATTCTTCTCAATCTAGGATTTTCACTCCTGCCTGTTTTCATTCTCAAGATCTAGGTCACTTATTTCTTGTAGGAGTCCTGCCCACATTTCACTGACTTATGGTTTCCAGTTCTATGGGCAAGGAATGGAATGGAAGACATGCAGAGATTTATGAATAAGAGAGAAACAATCCTGTGATAACTTTTGTAGGTCATTGGATATAATTAAACACACTAATATAAGACTCAGAAGTAAACAAATATAGAGGCAAAACATAACTACAGTGAGATACCAAATGGATAAAACCAATTGTAATAAAACTGGAAACTAATCACTCGTGTACACTAGATGCATCTGATTAAGAGAATAGCATTGTCTCTCAACCAGTTTAACACCCAAACGAACTTCAGCTCTCCTCTATATAGACCAGAGCACATCCCTTTTGGCCTCCTGGATCATATGCTTTTATAATGGGAATTTATACTTAAACAAAAAATACTTGGACTGAGGGCTCAGGTGAAGAGATGAACCTCTCGGAGCTGGGAAGGATTATTACTCCCTAGAGACCCTGAATACTACCCTCTTTGGTTATATGTCTGCCTGGAGCTTCTGCTCCAAGACCAATGCTGCTTGTCCAACATATTAAGGATGCTTCTCATACACACAGGTACAAATTATATGACGAAGAGAAAATATGGAGAGTTTATTTACACTCAACTTTAACTCTGCAACGATATTTTGTTCAGTGATTAAATGGTTAAAGAAGTAACCGCTGGTAGGTAGCAGGCATACAATCACTGCTCTATAGATCCCTTTTATTTGAGCTATATGTGAGTACTTACTATTATTATTAATTATTATTCTTAGCAGCGGTAACGGTACATTGAATATTCTAGGCAACATCTTAGGGTTTTATACAGGTTACCTTATTTCATTATTTTAACCACGCTGTGAGGTTGGTACTATGATTATTCCCACTTTGAGAAAAACCTCACTTGGGAAAAAAATGAAGTTTCAAGATGTCAGTGTGCTTCAGGTCACACTGGTGGAGGGAAGGATTCCTTCCCAATCTCTGAGATTCCAGAGCCCAGGGTGAATCACCTCTCTTCACTGTTTTATTAGTTTATTAGTACACTATGTCCTAGCTGGAAGCATCTTTTGAGGCCAAACGCAGGTCTGAGAGCTGCTGGGAGGAAGTTTCCTGGTACCTAGAACGGAGGTAAATCCCTCCAGGGCCCAGAGCACACACCGATCCTCAGTCGGGGCTCTGTCTTGGACTCAGAATCCTCCTCAAAACAGTGTTCCATGCCATAAAGTTGCCATAAAAGATGAAGCCTAGTTCCCATTCCTGGCCTCGAGGATAAGGTTCAAACACCCCCATGCAGCAAACTCATGTTGAAATGCTCTTCCAACCTTTAATTTCAGCCATTCCTCCCCAACTCTCTTCCAGGGCCCTGTGCTCCAAGCTCACCACACTCAGTTCTCTAGAATGCCGTGCCCTTCTTCTAGACCTCCACACCTCTGCTCCTGATCTTTGCTCTTTCTTCTTGCCCCGGAAAATAGCAACGCATCCCTCAGAGTCCAGCTCATGGACCACCATCACTGTGAGCCCTTCTCCCCGGAGAGAATTGGTTTCCATGGTGTTTTCATACCTGTTATGGTGCCTATTATTATACCTGTGATGTCCTGTCGAAGTTGTTGACATTCTTTCCACTTTCACTTTACCACTAGACCTCTCGCCTTCCTGCCTACCACACATTCCAGTCCCCACCCCGATCTAGGAAACCAGGGATTTGAAGACAAATGGATCAGGACCCTGGAAGCAGACCCACTTCTAAAATAACTAAGAAAGCCTAGTCTTCACCTCTGTCTCCTGAGCACCCAGCATGGCATCAGCAGGTAAGAGACGCACTAAGATTTACTCAGCTGAATTCCAACGCCATCTTGCCACCATCCCTTTGTCCACCGCTGCACTTCTCCACTACACTTTTGTCCAGTCCCTTGACACCAACCAGCTTATCTTTGAACAAAATCACTCATGTATTCCATTTTCGATATACTTTCAAAATATCCTCTCTCACTGGATCATTAAAACAAGTTTGCAAATTACTCATATCATAGGGGTCATATGATCTGACCCCTAACCCTGTTCTTTCCATTATGTTGCTTTTTACTGGTATTCTACTCATGGACATGATTTTCAATTAGATGGCAAACTCTGTGGACAAAAACCTTGCTTTAAACATTCCAGGCCTTCCACGCCACGCAGCTATTGACTGACTGATGCCATATACCAAGGTAGAAAATTACATATATGAGATTTCTAGTAAAGATCCTTCCAAAAATTGAGACACACAAGTATTTACAGTATTAGGACTCGGAAAAGCATGTCTGAGGCAAGAATGCATAATGGTCAAACACACGAATTCTACACCAATCCAAATCCTAGTTCTGCCCCTTACTAGTGGTGTAACTTTGGACAAAGCGACCTTTCTGTACCTTTGTTTCTTTCTTGGTAAAATGAAGACGTAATGGTAATGAAGAGAGCAGCAACAACCCCTCCCCTGGCCCCACAGGGTCGCTGTGAGGATTAAATGAATTAATTGCTGTGAAACACTTTCGCATGGTGTCTAGCACTTAGTGAGTCCACTTGTTAGCCATTCCTATTCTTCCATGGTCACAGAGGATTTCCTGGAGGACTCATCCTGAGGCTTACCACTGAATGAACTGGAAAAGAATTAGAAGCCAGAGTCTCAAAATGCTGGCTCTGAAGATCTCAGTTCTATTTTCAAACATGGTACATAAAATAGGCTCCGCAAAACGAGGCCTTTTACTCAGTCCAGCTCACTCTACTGCTCTCGTCTGCAATTCTGACGAGACAAACAAACCTTCTGTCACAGGGTAACCTGACGCCATTTGAGAACTTCCCAGGGCGGCCGGACTTGTAGGGCAGCTGTCGGAGTTGAAGCCTGAGCTCACCGATGTTATCACACACCTTGGCAAAGTCAACAAATTAATTTTTCAAGGTGTTGCTGAATCTGTTCTGCGTCTGCTCTCCTGCAAAGGTCAAGTCCACCAGTACACCTGTAGCTTGAAAGCACTCATTCATTCCTTCTTTCAGTTTCTGAGTGTCCAGGAGGTTCCAAGCAGTGGGGAGAGGCAAGTGAGCAGACACTGTCCCTGCCTCAGGGAGCTCACACTGGCCCATTGTGGTAAGCGCGCTGGAGATGTGTTTCTGGGAGTACAGAGCTCATACGTCACCTCACATTAGGCCCAGCCAAAATCTGTTCAGGGATGTGGACTGATCAAGTGGTCAAGGCTATTTGTCTTATCTCTAATCTCAGAAATGGTGACTACTTTGAGCTCGGCTCCCTCACTTGTAAGGGAGAGGAAGCACTCCCTGGGGGCAATGGGCACCTCAAGAACACTGGCAATTCCTGGAGATATTTCGGACTGTCACAGTCGAGTGGAGGAGAACTACTGGCATCTAGGAGGTCGAGGCTGCCAAACATCCCGTGATACACAGGACAGGCCCCGCAACAGGGAATCACCCAGCCCAAGATGTCAGCAGTGCTGAGGCCGGGAGAAACGCTGAGCTACAAACCTCTAACCTTCTCCCTAGCTCCAAAAATCCCGTTTTCTGAAACCCCTTTGCTTCTTTGCTGATGCAAACGTTTACATGGCAGCTGTCTTCTCTTTGAGTGGAAGGTCATCTAATAACGTAGCACAATCTCCTATAAAATACCCAAATCCCCTTTGTAACCTTCCTGCCAGACTGCTAACCAAGAGATGAGAAGTTTATTACCTCAGATCTTGGCAAGAACCCCTCAGCATCAACGGCCAGCTTCCATCTGTTTGCAGGTTAAGGGGATAAGATTTCCATGAATAAATAAGGGAAATCTACATGTCATACAAAACCTGTGTTTTCGGCAGTTTCTCTCCGAATTTTTATAGAAGTTTCTAACTGGAGTCAACAATCACTGTCTTGAGTTTCATTTATTTTCCCAGCTCTCACCTTGCAGAGGGACGTGCTTCTGAGTAGTGAAAGGGTTAAATGCAAGCAGCAAACAAGAGTGCCAACGAAAGGTATCTATTAATCCTCAGACTGGGTTCTCAAATCTTGAGGATTCCAAATTAGCTCTACTGTTTTATAACTTCTGGGCATTTGCATTTCTTTGTACCTTCCTCATATGCTTCAAACCCCATAGCTCTCTATCGGTGGGGGCAGGTGAGCTCTGAGTCCCTGTCCAAGGAAAAGCAAGAGTACGGAAGCATCCTGGAGCAGGGCTGGATGCACGACTCTTCAGTCCCCTGCTCGGTGAAAGGACAGCCTGCCCATAGTAAGCCAGCAGGGCTCATAAGCAAACAGAGCTTCGGGGCTGACAGAGCTGAAGGCGTTACTGACTTCTGGCCGTGGAGTTACAGGAACCCAGATTTTCTAATCTCAACTCTACCATTTACCAGCGACCTTGAACGTGACCTTCAGATTCTCTAAACCTCAGTTTCTTCATCTTTAAAATGGGGATAATACTAGCACACTTCATAGATTTCCCCTAGGGATTAAATGGGATGATCTCTGTCGAGTGCCAGGTGATAGCAGGTTCTCCAAGAGAGTATAGCAGGTTGTTGGTGATGGTGTCATGGCTAGGGCTCACACATATAAAGGAGATAGGGCTCAGTGTTATTCAGAAAGAAGAAGAAAGGGAGCTCTCTTTTGTTTCTGAAATAAAGAACTTCTGTTTGTATGTACCCCTCACCAGAATTCCACTATGCTTTCTGCAAAGGGAGGGGGGTACTAGTACTAAGACCCTCCTCCTGCACTCTTAGGTCCTTTCCAACATTCTCTTTCATCTCCAAAACACATGAGTCACACAGTAAGACACAGGCAGGTGAAGATCAAAAGTTAAGACCATGAAAAAGCAGGATACGAAAAACGTCCAGTTGCTCAATCTTGTAAGCATGTGAACACAGATACATTTAAATCTGAGTGCTCGGGTCAGTCCCTCCCTGTGACCAGCCAAATGCATCCCACGGATCACTGGCTTCCATTCTGAACACAAATGACGATCTTGTCGAGAAAAGGTCGAGCCCAGACCCACACTGGCCTGCAAGAGTACCAGTGGGTGCCTCTCGCCTCTTCCAGCACCCAGTGCTTTACGGCTGTAAGGGAGTGACCCGTGGGAGAATATCAGAGGTGCCACGGGTGGTGTGGGGGGACACACGATGGCCTCGCTCCTTCCTGGCAGAGCTAACTGGAGACCTACAACAGTTGGGAAACTTTGAACTCTCAAGGACAAATCTAAGCTTCTAAGGTAAATTTAAAACTGAGCCAAGGAGAAGCCTATTTTGCTTAGGCAGCCAACCAGGGATTTCACTAATTCTGAATTCCTTAGCATAAGCTTTAGTTTCTAGTTACTCACCGTAATGGTTCGCCTCATAGACACAGGAGGTCCTGAGTGGCTGTCATATCTGTGGAAAGAATGTGAAATCATTTCTTTGAAGAAGTGCCTTTTTTTTTTTTTTTTTTAAAGATTTTATTTATTTATTTGACAGAGACAGACACAGCGAGAGAGGGAATACAAGCAGGGGGAGTGGGAGAGGGAGAAGCAGGCTTCCCGTGGAGCAGGGAGCCCGAT